ACTTATTTCAGGTTCAGGTAATGCGGGGGTTGAGACCTCCAGCGGCAGGAGGTCGGAGCTTAGCTGATTTAGATGTTGTTATGCTGATTATGTTGGATGCTGGATTATGCTTGTTGCTATTTGCTGTTAGCTCTATGATTATGTTGTTGTTGTTGTTGAGACCTTGTTTGGCTATGTTGCCTTATTTGGTGAGCATGGGGATTATCCATACTACACTGCTTGACTATGTCTTACTTTAGCTTCGAGTTGTAATAATGTATCAGGATTATGTCCGGACTACGTGTTGTAGTTCCGTGATTTTAGATACTCACAGTTACATATATATTGAGGTATTTCAGTTAGCTATCCGTTGCAATTTACATACAGGCGATGTTTTTATGAAATTGGTTAAGTAATCAACTTGCTAATTATAATGACGTCATAATTGAAAAGAAAAAGATATTCCGCAGTTTTTAATTAAGCGTGGCTTAATACGATGACATGTTAACAAACCGGGTATACACGGGGTGTTACAGCTTTCCAACCACATGGGAAAACTTTTTTACCATGGTCTCGATGGCAAACTTTGATAAGCAAATCATCTGCAAAATCGAATTACGGCAAAAAAAATTTCCCAACCACTTTTTGACTATTCCTCCTACCAAACCATGCCAAAAGATTTTCCTTACCCCACTCTCCTGGAATTTTTTTTTTCCTCCTACCAAACACCCCCTAAATGAAATGAAGTTCGTCTCTTGGATTTATCTGATAAGTTTAAAAGTAAATTTATCTGCAAATGCTTTTAATCTTAACACATCGAAATTTAAAAGTAAATATATATATATATTTTCCTTATTTAAAAAAATCATTGTTTTCTACAAATTTAAGCTTATGAGATAGGTTTTGCCTTATATTCATTTTTTTGGTGCATTGGCTAAAATTCTTATGTTTCAGGGATCCTACGAACAATGAAGGAAGAAAGTAACTTAGCAACCCAAACGACTTCCCAGTGCGGACAAAAATAATACAAAGAAACAAGGGCGTTTGGTAGAGGAGAATTTTTTTAATATCAGAGAAATATAATTACTGGAGAAATTGTAGGAAAGTCAGTTTGATGGAAAAGTTTTAAAAAAGATATTTGGTTGACCGAAATATTACCGGAAAAATTTATTTAAATTTGCAAAATCTATGCTTGGGAAGAACTTCGCACCTGTTTTTCCACTTCCTCAGTTATCTCAAAATACCATATCTCAAGTGGTATTTTGTAATAGTGAATTTTATCCAAAAATTAACACCAAATTCGTTTCCTAGTCTTCCTATTTGTTGAACCAAACGTGGTATTTTCTAATACCTACCCACACTTTTTCATCAAATACAAAATAAAACTTGTACCAAAGACACCCTAATTTTTGGGTCCATGTCACATAGCAATCTAAGCCGTCCATGGGAAGCTTTGGATAACTGTTAGAAGCATATTCTGAATCAAATTACCTATTACTCCTTAATTTTGGGGTTGTGTATGATACAAGGGCGTGGACCACTCCTTTTGTTTGGGTCGTTACGGAAACCACTTGAATGAAGTAGGTCCAGTTTACAATCATGATCCTTCCTTCCGAAAACTGGTCCACTTGGAGTCCCATGATCATTTGTGCTCCGATTTATTAATTTCAATCTGATTATATTTGGATCATTAATCTATTTGGGCCTCATTTGGTTACATACAAATACAATGCAGACTCTCTCTCTCTCTCTCTCCCTCTGTGTGTGTGTGTGTGTGTCCTTTACTTCTAGATTCTTAACCTCAACATTCCCTAAAGTGCCAACCTCATTACTAGTAATGTCTCATTAACAGAACCACTGGAAATGGTTCCTTTCAGTGTATGCTTGTTAACTAAATTTGTTTGGTTTTAAGCGGTTAGAGAGGACCTAATTCCTTCTTATATGACATAACAATTATGCATAAAACATGTAAGAAAAAATATCCGAGTTATATGTAGTTTCAAAAACTACGTACCCTGATCGATATTCTATTGACTAAACTATCTTATGCATATTTTTTTAAGGAGAATTAGATCTAAAGAACGGAATAACATTCATTATCGGGAAGGAGAAAGTGTGGTTATTCAAAAAGACTATAATTAACTAACAAGGTAATCATCTCTTAAAAAGGACATGTTTTTCGTTAAACATCCAAACAAGTAAAAAAAAAAAAAAAAATCCTCCCGAAAGTAGAAGACTCAGATTTCTGATGGGAAAGGCTGGTTCGCATTTACCATTAGTACTGTACATGTGAAAGGCTGAACTCAACATTTAATCCAATATCCTTGTTTTACGGGCCATGTCAATGTGATGCTACGACAATATATTAATTGGAGCACCAATGCTTTGCCCATAGAAAGGTCTTTTTCCCTTCTTTTCTTATATATTTTCCCTTTTTTCCTTTCTATTATACCAATGCTCAGGTCCATATAACCCATAGATGGTGCAGTACTTGTTTTGTATATATCAATATACTTTGGATAGTTTCTTCTGATAATAAGGCCTTTGACAAGATTAGGGTTTAACCCTAGTAAATTAACTATTCCTTCTTTTTTTCTTTTCTTCTTTGGGTGAAAAATTAACTATTCCTTCTATCCATATACTCAAGTGCTCACTTGCCCATCTAATATTTAAAAAATAATAATAATCAATTAATAAAGTGAACAAGTACTGCAACATGTAAACCCCAAAAGAAACTTGATACAGTTGCACCATTTATTTTTTTATGAGTCCATGACTGCTGTATGCATTATTAAAAAGGGGTAACAGAACATCAGTTAAAAGTAATTGTCGTATATATTTTTTTTTAATCAAAAGTTTGGCATCGGATTATGTACATGCAGGAAAGAAAGTTTTAGATTGAATTGTGTTTGGAAGGACCTCTAGCTAGCATATTATCTATATTTTTCTCGTTTTGACAATGTCATGCTCATGCATGTAATATGATTGCAGTCAGATATCACAGAACCTGTAGTATACTATCTATGCTAATATAACGTAAACGGTGCTTGAACTAAAGTCAATTATAAAAGAAAGTCAAACAGTTAAATATAAGAACGTAATACAAACAATTATTGGACCACAGAATATGGCTTTTGTATGGGAAAAACCAACAGTACTTTCCTCTTGTAAATGTAGTATTTATATCATTGTTAAAAAAATAATAAATTGAAAACTAAAATCAAAAATCAAATATGAGTTTAAAGTATAACAAAATATATATATATTTTTTGGTAAATAAAGTATAACAATATTTTATTAACGACAAATTTAATCTAGTTAAGCACGTAAAGAAAAAAAATTAATCCAATCTAATTAAGTCGATGGATCCATTATGCATAATTCCTCTAACACTAAAAAAGCACATGCAGGGCCGGGCCTTAATTTGATGATAACATAGAATTTCAGTACATTTTCATTTTCAACAGAATGAAAAATCAATTTAGAGATAATACCAATAAATATTTTGTAATTATAGAAGAAACTAATTTTTCGAGCTCAAGGTAGCAAGTTGATTTATATGTGTGAACACATGATTGAGTTGTAAAAATTAGTTAGGCGTGCTAATCAACATTTTTTTTCTTCCCTTTGTCTTTACAGGTACAATATGGGAATATTAGTAAGGTGATAAGAAAATGGTGGGTTCTGAAATGGGATTCAACCCACCCACCCACCAGTTAATGTGAAGGACAATTGACAGTGCGTGCAATGCAAACTCCACTTCAAAAAATATAATTGTACAACAAATTTGTGCGTCAGTCAGGTAAAAGTGGAGGGAGAGTGCTACCTAGCAATTACAACTTACAAGGATAAATAGACGAGAGAGAGAGAAGAAGCACATGGTCCAACGAAAAAAGCTATTAGCCGAGGAAACTTCCTATAGAAATACGACGCTCATATATTTGGCCTTTCTACGGCTTTTTGTATTGGTTCTACGTCTACCAATGAAACATAACAGGACCACAGAACAACCACACGCAGTGTGTGTAGGAGTATGGAATAAATCTTTGGTACTATACTGTTGCACCAAGATTCAGTGCATCTTATCAATGAAAGAATTACACATCATAGGAGAGAGAAAAAATTTATCAGGCAAAATTAAAACTTTAGCTGACATGTAATATTTTTATTAGTGGGATGTACTGAATCTTTAGTCATATAGTATCACCAAAGATTTGTTCGTGAGTATGAGTATGAGTGTATTTTCAACTTCTTTTTTTTTATTTTTACATCACGTACGAGTGATTCTTTTCAAACCGCAAAAGCTAAGAATGGTCTCTGCATATTTGGAAAGATGCTGCTTCTGGTTCTGCGGCCACTGCTGCCATGGCCCTGATTCAGATGCAAGAGATAAAGAGACGTTAAGGTGATCATCATGAATTGAGTTTGTTTGTGTCTGCGTGCCTTTGTGGCCCTTGAGAGGGACGACTGAGTCTGTGACTGTCATTAACCCCTCATACCAGTGGCACTGAAAAACATGCTGCTTTTTATTCACATTTATAAGTCACCAGAATAGCAGTCTAAAAGGAACCGAACCACTATATCTGATTCCTTTTTCTCTCTCTCTCTATGACTAACTAATGTTTCTGCAGTGTATTCATTTCCTTACTGAAAATTTTGTTATTTTTATTCACTTTATTTCTTTTTCTCAGTACAGTTCTTTAATGCTTGTTAAAGAGTCTTCGGTTTCTGGCCTACTTGGCCAAAAAAAGATCTACACATAGTCCAAACAGAAAATCCAAAACAACCAAAACTAAAGGATAGTGATTTCAGTGATTTCCTGACCGCCATTCATTGCAATGCACGAGAGGAAAACCTAACAAGAATATAATATACATACACCACATCATCACACCGTGGACACTGGACAATATTAAATATATAGCAAGAAAGAAGCAAATATTAATTTAACCATCCAGCAAAACCCTTTTATAATAATCTGCATTTACACAAAATTAATTTAATTAACAAATAACTGGCACAAACTGCGATTTACATTAAATAACACTCAGTTTTTAATTAATTTCACCACATAGCATTGCCGTTAATTAATCCCAGTTACATAATCGATCAATAGCACTCACTTCACTTAGTATACCAATTCACAAAGATATGAATTAGGGTAGAAAAACTAAATTAAAAAAAGAGATCAACATATGAATCATGCAGAGAGAGACTATAGAGAGAAATGTGATGAACTTATGATGATCTCCAAGAGTTAGCGGTTTAGGGATGATGCTTCTCTATTTCTCCAGCTTCGATCTGTTGTTATTGCAGAGGACATGTAGCTTAATACCAAAGAGTTCTCGTCCGGGGGTGGGGGAGCGGCCACAGATTGAAATTGATGCTTGCAAGCATGGCAAGTGATTTGAAGCATTGTTGAATTTATCTGTTTGATTGCATGCTCCTTAAAGCCATAAGCCTTGTCAAGTTCAGCTTGCGCTTGTTGTCTAATCCTCTTGGCGTTGGTGAAATCAAGCTCCGCCACTTCAATCTGCCTCTTGGCTTGTTTCCTTGCCTCCTCCGCATATGCCTTCTCCGCCACGGCTATCCTCAACTGCTCACGTGCCTGCTCTTGGAGCCTCATCGCCGCCGAACCTGCACCGCCGCTGTTGCTGCTCTCCTTCGGTGATGATGAGTTCACATTTTTGTTGTTCATTTCCGATGACACCATCCATAGATGCAGCTTAGGTGATAGAGATGCAGAAACCACATCAATAGGATTGGATACAGTGGTTGTAGTTGTGGAGAGCTTAAGCTCCAAATTTGGGTAGAGTTTATCAGCAGTGGTAGTAGGGTTCATGAATGTGGGTTCTGTAACTGTTATGGGCTTTGGTATTACTAGATTGGCTGGCCAAGGACCTGTTTCGCTTGAAGGGCTCAGGCTTGAAGCTGTTCGCGACAAGCAGCATGCAGCTGCCGCCTGCGATTCTGGCCGTAGCATCCCCATGTTGCACGCATCTTGGTGCTCAATAAAGCTCTCCACCCTACATCGATGTACATGCAATTATGGGGGAAGATGAGAGAGAAAGAACTATTATTCTATAACATATATACAAGCTAGCATATATATATATATATATATATATATATATATATATATATTCAGCTCCTTGCATATGAATGAAGATGATCATTGTATACAGTTAAAAAGAAAAAGTGGTTTGAAAAGAAGTCAAGATAGGTGGGGTGAGATTCCAGTTCCACTAATTAAATAATATTGTATATATTATATTATGAAGTCTATAAAAACTCTCAAGTCATTTTGAGGTTTATTCTCTCAGCTGGTCATTGAAGAAATACAATGTTAATACAATAGATGATCGCAGAGCTAAAGGAGGATGTTTAAGGTATTGACCAACCAAACCTGAGCTTTGGGAACCGTGTTCCCCGACTGTCAATAAACAGTTCTTGTTAAAATATTTGATTAAGGTTCCATCAGTCAAAATATATATTTTAACATTGTTTTTTTTTTATTTATTTATTATTTAAAAAAAAATTCCTCATGTATTTCCCCCTCACTTCTTACTTTATATTCCATTCCAAAAAATATATTTGCCTTTTGTTTAAAGTCAAAACCTGATAAACATGGGATTTAAAAAAGGTAATTAAAAGGAGTTGTTTAAAGTAGCACATAAAATAGAATAGAGAAAAAAGAATTGAAAACCCCATTATAATTACACGGCAATCTAGCGATAATAATTTGATATAGATCTATATATATGCCGTTTTAAAAGGGTGGGTATTGTGCAGATGGAAGGAAGAGGTAGAACGAAGGAAGGAAGGAAGGAACGTACCTTGAGAAAACGCGTCCACAATCGCAAGTGTGGCCTCTGGTGCCACAGGTTTTGAGATGTGCTTTGTAATCGGACTGCACCGCATAGCCCTTAGAGCATCTCTGGCAGACCCACTGCTTGTGATTGCTGTGTTTCCTCCTGAAATGCTTCTTTATCCCAACAAGATCACCCAGGGCATGGCATGGATCGTGGTGCAAACAGCTTGCCTCCGGGCAAACAAATACTCTCTTGCTCACCGCCGGCGTCTCTCTCTTCAATAGCTTCCACGGCACCTTGTGACGCCGCCGGTGCATCTGAAGGTTCTGATCCCTCTGGAATCCCTGGTTGCAGATCTCACAAACATAACGATCTGATTCGAGCAAGGTCTTGGGTGAGAGGGTCACCACTTCTGCATCTGGATCTGTGTTTCACACCCTCGATCAACAGAATTAATTAATTAATTACCGTAAAAGTATCCAAATATTTATATTATATATATATATATATATATATAAACAATTAAAAGGATTGATTGATTAATGGTGCACCTGGTGTTCCTGCAGGCCTTCTCTTCCTTTTATTAGTATTCTCAGTGCAGGAAAACGGCTCCGAAGTGGGAACTGACGAGGGAGATAAGCTATTAGCTAACATAGGAGGGATTGAAGAATTTCCTCACTACTCTAGCAAGTATTCGATATGCTATGCTATGATCTCTTGTATGATAATAGCAATCTATCTATGTTTCTGTCGTCTGAATTTGTTGGTGATAGCTAGAATTAAGTAAAGGAAAGAGATGAAGACGGTGTGTGGAAGAGAGAGACAGCTAGCTACTGAGGCCTAATATAAGAGGAAGAAAAAAGCTCTTCTTCTTTTTTCTCTTTCGGTTACCTCCTCCTCACCTTTCTTTAAACTTGCTTTTAAACGTTCAGCTTTTTCAACAGCTTTCTTTCTCTCTCTTTGTGTGTATGTGTGTGTATGTTTGTGTATGTGGGTTCCTCAATCTTCTCTTCCTTCCAATTCCAACCCTCATCTAATTCAACAGGTATTGTCTGGATAGCCCTCCTTAATAAACTTTCAAAAAGAGACACACAGGGTGAGACCCAATCACAGAGCTCGAAACTTGATCCCACAATGGGCTCCAGAGGAAAAACATCCTCACAAAGAAACAAAACCCTCTCTCATAATTTCATCGCACTGTAAAATTTTGCTTTGCATGCATTAATACCAAGCCCCCAAATACACACGTAAGCTTCCTATTTTTGTCACACACTCCCTCCCTCTCTCTCTCTCTCTCTCTCTCCTTATTTCCCCTGCTTCTCTCTCTTACAAGTTACTATCTTCTATAGACCATAATACCCGTACCTGTTACTATGCTGATCTCTAATTAATTTCACTTGAGGCAGCTTTAAGAAAGGTTATAATGAGGATGTGAAGTCACCCTCGGGGGCATTCCAGTCATAAAGATGCTTTGCTTTTTGGTAAAATGGGCATATCATCTTAACAGTTGCCAGTTAATATCGGCAATATTGTCTTTTCCGTGTGAGGTTCGTAACGTTGGCAATATTTTTGAAAGCCCCCAACACATACACAGTGCTGCAATATGATGACTCTCATTTTACCTTGAGTTCAACAAGAGACGGCCAAAAAAAAAAGCAAAACCAAAACCATTCCATCGCATAAATGGTATTTAATTCGCTTACTTTACTAGTACTGATTATACAGGGTGAAAATTTATTACACTTTTATTAACTGCGTACATGGAATGCTTATCTTAGAAGAAAAACATAAAACAAAATGGAGACTATAGCAGTACAAATTAGCGTTAAATCTTGTGTCAAGTTGCACTTCTTACAATTGTATTTGCAAAACAAAAATAGATATTTCAATTCAACTAATTTGTATCGAGTAAATTTTTTTAAAAGAACAGAAGGAAATATTGAGCTTGGTATTGGAGAAGTTGCCATTTTACCATATTTATCAACGGAAAAAATAATTATTACTTACGCAACTAACAAAATGCTTGTTCATTAAATCATGAACGATCTAAGAGACTCATCCTTATTATATTCTTATCAATGGGATCGAACGAGCCGATCATTCCAGTTGTACACTAGAAAATAGGGATTTTGCGAGTGACATTTTCTGTCGCAAATAGCTTTTGCGATGGAAAATGGTGGTCATAATATACGTCGTCACAAACAAAATTTGCGACCACACTTGAATGTTCCAAATTTCTCCGCAAATTATGACAGGTAAATTCCAACGCAAAATCCATCTTTTCTGTTGCAAAAGGCTGATATGAAAGCGGAGAGTTTACAGTCAATTCAATCGCAAACTGTGTCAGAAGAATCCGACCCAATAGGGTCGCAAAATTTTCGCGCAAACTACGATGAAACTGTGCTAATTAACTCGTCACAATATTTGCGACAGCATGACAAAAAAATATCATCGCAAATTTTGCAGCGAAATAATTTCAAGATACGATTGCAATGGAACTATTCTGATTTTGCTGTCACAAATTTGTGGCGGAGTTATGATGTCTATCACAAATTGACTGTCAATTTGTGACGAAATTGTTAATAAAGTCTATTACAAATTGACAAATATATAAAAAAGAAAATTTAAATTCGCTTATTTTCCAACCTGTAAAAAGTACAACAATAACAACACAAGTGATTTGAAATAAGCAGACAAACACATATTCAATATTAGTCATAATAACAAAAATACCAATGTATATCATTAAAATGAAATAACTAACTATTACAATCTCATACAATACAAAAATGTACCAAAACAAAAGAAAGCATAAATAAATGTATCAAATACATCATATGAGGTAAAGGTGTGGGAAGGGAAAGGGGAAGAGGATGAGGAATCATCTATAGGTTCAAAAGACTCTGCATCTTTTTTTTTCATCATGTTCTTCTCCTTCTTCTTAATAAGCTTATCAAGCATTTTCTGCATTGATCCCATTTCCTTATCTGTATCATCATGTTTCTCCTTTTGCTCCTGTAGTTCGGCCTCCAATTTAGTTATCAACGCTCGAAGTCAAGATCCTTTGCGGATACCTCCCCAGTAGCTTCCTGCACATAAAAATTAACAATATTAATTAGTTGCAAGTGCAAAATATAGGATACCGAAATAAAAAATACTATATACTTATAATTTTTATCATGTGCTCGAAGAACGAAATGCAGCCTCCAGCATAAGAGGACCTGCTCAAGTGCACCTTATTTTGCTTATGTCGCATGGACTTCTGTTTAAATGCGTCATCCGTAGCCCATTTCTCATTCAAATGCCTCTTTAATTTCAGGATCACACCAAGCATGTCTACCCTTTTAAGCCTCAAGCTTTACATTTTGTCGCTATACCACTTGGCAGCCTTACAATACAAAGCATGGGTAAAATTGTGGCGGTGTTCGGGTAGCCACCTAAAGTGTTGCTGCATAGGTAATTGAAATACAAGTGATTGGGAAACAATTATTATAGAGAAAAATAATCGAGATAGAGAGGGAGAGAGAAAGTACTATGGAGCTTCACCTTTTTTGAAATAGCACCTCCTACCAGATCAAATGAATATGAAGACTCGAAAGAATAGAACACTAGAAAACTTGGATTAGGAAAAGAATAAAACTTGGACTCCGACAAACAAATAATGAGACTTAAAAACAAAAAACAAAAAACAAAACTCACCAGAGTTGAAAGTATAAGTCGCGATCACATAGGGTTCTTTAATAATTCCAGCCGGCTGTTGGTCAAAGAGGGCTCACCAAAGAGAGAAGACTTTTCAAAAATCAGAAAGACAAATGCATCAACGCAGGAACTTCGAATCACAATAACCACAGAGAGAGAGAGAAAGAGAGAGAGTTACCACAACGACAATGACAACCAATAAGGGGAAGGCCATGATATTAATGGCGATGAAATCACCGGTTTGCAACGTCGGAGGAGAATCGACTGTTAGGTGTTTCAAATCCTTGGTGTCAGAGGGAATAAAAAATTATGTCCATCAATAATCAGTAAATACCAACGTACTTGCAGGAAAATACAATCACAAATTTGCAACAATGGAAAAATGCATTACCAATTAAAATAAGAGAAGAAATATTGATTTAGGGTTAATAGAAGACATAAGTGAACCATTAGTCATCGTTGTTCCGGTCAAACACACGAATTGCAGTGCTCGGTTAGTCACTAGAGACAGAAGGGCAGAGTAAATGAATGGTGAAGCGGGACCTAATGAGGTGGGAAAGCTTTCGAAGAGGAAAATGAGATGGGAAAAAGATTCGAAGATGAAAACCGTTCTCGAAAAGAAAAATATGTTTGCCGGAGAGAGCAACTTCGTTGGGGTGGTCGCTGGTGGTCAACGGAGAACTAACGGCAATCGGTGGTGGGAAAAGACTATGGCAACATAAAGCAAATGCATGTGGCAATAGAGGGTGGGTATCAAATGTGGAAGTAATGAATTTTTTCTATGTTTTTGTAACTAAGAAGTTGCTTAAGCCAAATGAGCTCACAAGTAATAGTAGTCATGAAGCGATACTCTGCTTCAACACTTGATCTGGCAACTACATTCTGCTTCTTACTTTTACAGGAAACCAAGTTGCCTCCAACAAAGACACAATGTCCAATAATAGATCTCCAATTAGTAGGACACCCAGCTCAATCAGCATCACAGTATCCGATAACTTTAGCACGACCTTTATCTTCATATTCAAGGCCTTATCCTGGAGATGCCTTTATATACTTAAGAATATAAATGACAGCATTCCAATGTTCTTGACATGGAAAATTAAGAAACTGATTTACCACACTAATCGAAAACGAAATGTCAGGTCAAGTGACTGTGAGGTAGTTCTGTTTTTCAACCAATCTTCTATATCTTTCAGGATCTGAATAGGTCTCCCCTGATTTGGTATAAGCTTGACACTTGGATCCATAGGGGCATCAACAAACTTGGAGTTTAATAAAACACTCTCTTCAAGAATATCCAGAACATATTTCCTTTAAGATTTCATAACTTCATCTTTAGATTGGACCATTTCAATTCCCAAGAAATATCGAAGTTTCCCACAATCTTTAGTCTAAAGTGATCACATAAATGTTGCTTCAACTTAGTAATCTCATGATTATCACTACTTGTGATGAAAATATCATCTATATACCATAAAGTAGATAGACCCGAAAGCTGAATGACGATAAAATAGAGAATGACCAGCTTCACTCCGAGTCATACCAAATTGTTGAACAACACTGCTAAATCTATCAAACCAAACTCATGGAGATTGCTTGAGACCATAAAGAGACTTGCAGAGATGACAAACAAGACATGACTCATCCTGAGCAATAAATCCAAGAGGTTGCTCCATATAAACTTCTTCTGCAAGATTACCATGAAAAAAATCATTCTTTATATCAAGTTTATAGAGAGAGGCCAATGGCAGACAGTAGCCATCAAAATAATAAGGTGAACAAAAGATATCTTAGCCACAGGAGAAAAAATGTCACCATAATCCAATCCAAACACCTCAGTAAAACCTTTCGCCATCGATCGGGCTTCGATCCACTTGACCATCGGGACCAACCTTAAATTCATAAATCCAACGGCAGCCAACAATAAATTTTCCTGACGAAAGAAGGACCAAATCCCATGTGCCATTATACTGAAGAGCACTTGTTTCATCAATCATAGCTTGTCTTCATCCAGAATGTGAAAGTGTTTCACCTGTAATCTTGGGAATCGATACAAAAGACAAAGAGGAAAAACATGCAAAATATGATGGAAAAAGATGATAGTAACTAATATTAACGGAATACCTAGCAGGAGGGCTGGTATCACAGGTACCTTTACAGAGAGTAATGAAAAGGTCACTAGTCAAAGGTGGGACCGAAGTCGAGGGAGAAG